GAGACAGTTGTCTCCATCCCAGGGCAAATAAAGCATCAGAGGGAGGTGCTCAATGATGAGGGAACATCAAGTTGCTTTTTATGGTTTAAATTAAATGGGTTAAATAACGTCAAATTTATTTGTTGACATCCTAACCCCCATGGCCTCAGAATGTGACCTTATTTGGAAACAGGATTGTTGCAGATGTAATTAGTTATGATGAGGCCATACTGGGAAAGGGTGGCCCTCTAACCGAATGTGGCTGGCGTCCCTCTAAAAAGGGAGAAGGCCACATGAAGATTCATGCAGAAGCTGAGGGAGTGCTTCTGCAAGACAGTGCACACCAAGATTGCCAGCATACCAGCAGAAGCTAAGACAGAGGCGGGGAACAGATTCGCCTGCATAGCCCTCCAAAAAAACCAACTCTATCCACACCTTGATTTTGATTCCAGCCTTCAGAATCGTGAGACAGTAAGTTTCTGTTGTTTAATTAAGCCACTTAGTACTTTTTTATGGAAGCCCTAGAAAACGAATACAATGTTAATTAGGTCAATGAATAGAGTCTTAAAAAAAAGATGAAAGTGGACAGGGAGTAATGGTTTGGAGGAGGAAGAGGTGAAAAGTTGGGTTGGGAAGCCCTGGTGGGAGAGCCACAGCGCAGGCCATTGAGACCCTGGACCCATGTCATGCCATCTGCGGTAGAGAATCATGCATCCTTTAAGAAATAGCTCTTGGCATGTTACTGGGTCCTAGTGGAAACAGAACATGGCCATGGACACCAAGTGGCAATGCATCCAGAACTGCCTATTATGAGCTGGGCTCTGTCAGAGCTACCAAGTTATAAAGTCAGACAGGCCCAGTACCCATCTATTGTGGTGTGGAAATATTACATGTGGTGTTGAGCTTGAGTAGGACCTGAGGGCATGACTAACTTGCTAGACCTCCTGGTCACCCACCACAGTTGGATTTTCCCAGCTTGTGCCTGTGGCCATAGAGAGGAATCCTGTATGATCAGCTGGAAGAGGAAGCAACATAGTTTACTCTTGGTTTACAGGTGGATCAACTCAGTACATGGGTGCAAGCCAAAAATGGAGAGTGGCTGCATTTCCCCCACATTTAGGGTGACCCCAAAAGGCAGTAGAGAGGGAAAAATCTTCCCAGTGGGTGAAGCTTTGAGCAGTGCACCTGGTCATCTACTTTGTATGGAAAGGAAAGCAGTCAATTACCTGGTTAGGGGTCTGGAAAGAAAAGGACTAGAGGCAAGGCAACGTGGGTAGAAGCATGTGACAGACACATGGGAATGGGTACCAAGTATAAGGATTTTGAATCATATGTTCACCACTAAGTATCTGCTATCAACTAGGTAACTGAGTAGACAAAAGGACTTGACCTGTTGACATTGGTCAGTGTTTTAGTTTGTTGAGGCTGCTATAACAAAATACCATGAACTGGGTGGCTTATAAACAACAGAAATTTATTTCTCACAGTTCTGGAGGCTGTGAAGTCCTAGCCTGGGAACCAGATTCCATGTCTGATAAAGATCAACTTTCTGGTTCATAGATGGTGCCTTCTTGCTGTGTTCTTATGTGGTAGGAGAGGAGAATGAACTGTCTGGGGCTTCTTTTATAAAAGCACTAACCTATTCATAAGCGGTTCACCTTCATGATTTAATTATCCCCCAAAGACTCCACCTTCTGATATCCTCACCTTGGAGGTTAGGACTTAAACATGAATTTTGGAGGGGATGAGGGTGCACATTCAGTTCCTTGCAGCCAGCCTTGATAATAAGCCATCCCACATTGACACGATGGACTCATGAGTGGAGTGGCTATAGCATTAGAGAGGAAGATATGTGTGAACTTAATAGCGTGGACTTTCACTTATCAAGGCTGATCTAGCTACTGCTGCTTCTGAAGGTCCACATTGTTAGCAAGAGTCCAATTCAACCAGGCACTATTCCTCAAGGAAACCAATTGACTGCACAGTGACAAGTTAACTACACTGGCTCCCGTCCATTCTGGAAGAGCCAGTGAATCCTTCTCCAGGGACAGATACCTTTTCTGGGGATGGGTTTGCCTTTCCCGCCCACAAAACCTCAGCCAGCATTTTTATCTGGGGGCTTTCAGAATGCCTGATTCATAGGCATGGAATCTCACAACAGCACAGCATCTGACCAGAGGATCCATGTCACCTTGAGTGAGGTGTGAGAGTGGGACCATGACTAGGGAACCAATGGTTTTATCACAGACTCCTGCTCATAGGCAGCCATGCTCTTGCAACACTGGGACAGCCCTCCAGAGGCACAGTTGAAGCCCCAGCTGAGAGGAAACATTCTGAAGGAATACGATACCATTATTTATGATGCAGTCCATTTTTTAAACCATTGGCATTTATGGTACTATGTCTTCCATAAGAAGGAAGCAAGGGCCCCAGAACCAAGCTGTAGAGGCAGGAGTGGCTCCACTTACCATCATACCAATGACCCACTGGGGGATGCTCCATGTCCCTGAAACCTTGGGTTCTGCAGGGTTGGAAGTTCTGACTGCTGAAGAGGCACCTTTGCCAGAGGTCACAGGAAGTTCCCATTGAATTACAAGTTACAGCTTGGATTTATTGTGCCCATGGACAGTAGGCAAGGAGAGGGGCAGTGTCCTTGATTAGCAGGAAGAATCAGATCTGGTTTTACACAATGGGAGCAGGAAAGAATACATGTGGAACCCACGTAAACCACAAAGATTGCTGAGGTTGAGGAAACTTTAAAAGGGACAATGGGGAAAGGGGAGAATGGCATTAGTTGTGGCCTAAGGTCAATTGCAAAGGGAGGGCAACAGTTCATCCTACTAACCTCCCTCTCCTGGTTCTTACTTAGGAAGACAGACCCACTGGACTAATGAAATTATGAAACCAGCTGCTGCCCAAATCTGTGTGGAGAAGGTTTGCTCAGCGCAAGGGGTGGACTGTAGCAGCCATGAGAATGTGCCTTGGGGAATTCTAACTATAGGGCACACAAATAACCAATAAAGGCAGTTGCTGTGGCTCTGAGATCCAGCATCCCGTTTTCACAGAGGCTACATTTCCCATGGGCTGCTTTCAGCTAAAGAATGAATGTGGCAGGTACACTAAGGAAGATACATTCTTGGGAGGCATGGGACTACTCTGGTGACCAGTGTGGCTTGAGGACTACTGAACTTGCCTTAGACTGCATCATTCTTTAGGATGCTTCCATCTAACCTTCTATTCCTCTGTCCTTCCTTCAAGGTCAGACTTGCATCATGGTCTGACTGTTCTTACAGCTTTCCCTGGGCCCCTCCCCATTTTCTGTCACAGGCATTTCCCCTAAAAAAAATCCTTACAGGTTTAATGGTGTCTTGGCATCTTCTTCCCAGGGCACCCAGAATAACCCAGTCCCTTTAACTCTTGCTTCAACCTCTGTAAACAGACCTTCCATAAAGCATCTCTTCAAATACCCTGCTGAGTTGCCATCTGTTTCCTGCTGGGACCCTCAGTGATAGAGATTGCTATAGACTATAAATGTTAGAGAATTTCAAGGAAGAAAAAGCAATGTTAGGTGGTGTGATGAGAATAAGCAGCAAGGAAGCCATGGATCTTGAGATATGGGGTTGATCTGATGTTAGAGGTTGGCATTTCAGGTGTGTGTATGTGTGTGCATGTATGCATGCATATGTGTGTACATGCATGTAGGAATGCATGTGTATGTGCAGCATAAGCAAAGGTACTAGGGAAGAAACAAGTACATATGGCAGGGTTTGTCCAAGAGTCCACACCTCTTTTCTCAGGAGCTCCATTTGTGCTATGGGAGGAAAGCACCGAGAAATTCTTATTTCTCTGTGTTCAATGTTTAGAATTTGCAAAGAAGTTTCCCCCTTTCCTTATTCATCACCACATTGCCTGCATCTTTCTATGTGCAGCCAGGAGCTCATGTTAGACAAGAGCTGGGGCAGTGGCAAGGCCAGATGGAAATACAGAAAAACAGGAAAGAAAGACAGAAAAATGAGTGCCTTGAAATTCTGGTGTCCAGGGCTCAGGATACTGGGGGCAACAGGACTAAAGAGCCCCATTTGTTAGAAGCCAAAGACAGGGAGCAGTTTTCTTCAGAAGTCAGAAGCTCCCAAAACAGAATTCTACAAGATAAAGGAGATAAAGGTTTTCAGACATAGGCTTCTATAATTCAAGTATCTCTAAGATGTTATTGCTAAGCTGTGAAAAACCAGGTTCTATTTATTCCTTCATTCAACATACGCATATGGGGTACCTACCACGTGCCAGGAACTGCTCTAGGCACTGGAGATGCACTATTAAACAAGACAGATGAAAAAGCCCTGTCCTCATGGAGCTTACATCCTATTGATTACCAAATAAACCAGTAAAACAAATAACATGTCAGAGGTTGGTAAGTGCCACGGGGCAAAGCAAAGCAGGAAAAGGAATAGGTTGTGCATGGGCTGGGGCAGAGACAGCTAGAAAAGGCCTTGCAGACAAGGCAACGTATAACAGAGACTTTAAGAAGGTAAAGGAGCAAGCCTCAGAGATACCTTGGAGAATGGTCCATGCAGAAGAAAGAGCAAGTTCAAAGTCCTGAAGGTAGGGGTGTGCTTGCTGCTCTTATTAATGTCTGTCTATTTATCATCCTGTACTAGTCCACCTACACACAGAAAAGCATCTATTTGCAAAGCCTTCAAGTTCTAGTGTTTTGCATTCCAGACTACAGTAATGTTATCTAACTGTAGCATCTAAAAGGCACCAGTGGCATGACAAAAAAACATTATATCTCATTATAGTATCAGACTTGAGGTTCATTATCTCACAATCTGCATCAGTTTCAGCAGCAGATAAAACTCTCCAAATATGACTCCTCAGATGCATCTCCACTTAATCTAGAGACTTTGAATTTAAAAGACAAGTAGTACCTTGGCTTTTGGGATTGGAAAATTTGCATCCTGGTTCACTTACAGGCTGTGTGGTCCTGAAT